AAGGAGGATAGAAGGAGAATTGGTGCCTTTGAGCTGTGGTGCTGGAGAAGAGTATTGAGGGTACCATGGACTGCTAGGAAAACAAACAGATTCATCCTGAAAAGGGTTAAACTGGGTGGCTCCTTGGAGGCAAGGATTCTGAGGCTCCGTCTAACATACTTTGGACATGTTGTAAGCAAGGACCAATCCTTGGAGAGGAACATCATGCTTGGTAGGGCGGAGGGACAATGCAGGAGAGGAAGGCTCTCTATGAGGTGGCTTGATTCAGTGACTGGGGTAATAGGTATGGGTTTATCGGAGACAGTACGATTTGCACAGGAAAGAGAAGAGTTTAGGGCTGTTGTACATAGGGTCGCTATGAGTTGCAAGCAACTCGACAGCACATAACAATAACAACAACCTGTCACACTAGGGTAATAATTAACTGAGTTAAACTTCTAGGTAATTATAGTAACTTACAGAGAGAAAAAACTTAGCATTTAATATTTTTAAGATCTAACTGCTGAGTTCTTATAACCTGAGAATGATAGACCTATTTGACAACTAATACTTGAAAAATCACAAGGCTTGTTTTTTTTGCCTATATACACTCCATTTGCTCCATTATTTCCTAAGTTATGTTCTTGTATTAATAAACTTTCTTTTAGGTATTTTACCAGTGCAGTGGACCTTATCACGTTAGTGCCTTCTGTGATATGACAGTTACAGCTTTTCTTTATACCCAGATTTGTTTACAAATTACTCATAATTCTTTAGAGTTGAGGAAACAGATGGGGACATCCATGACTTGAAATTTCCATTCTTATATCCTAGAATAAACTGATACCAAATTAATTCACCAACCTTTGGGTTAATGTAATAGAATATGGGATGAGATATTTTTTAATTTTTTAATCTCAATTATGTTTGATGTTTAAAGGTTTTAGATAGCTATGGATAAAAAAATATGTGAATTTAGGCTTTTCAGTGTGATTTGCCTTTTGAGCTATCCCCTTAACTATTCTAATTCTTTCTGAAGCATTAGACATCAGTGATAATGTTTGGTTTAGAATCATCATATTTTTCTTCTAGATTTAGAGTTGAGACTATTGAAATGTTAAATAATTGTTACCATTTGTTTTATGCTATTGCAGTACTTAATTTTACTAGTATTGGCAAACTATTAAAAAAGAAAAAGCTACTGATAAAAAAAGACAAGCTATTGATTTTCTTCTCGACTTACTAATTAGAAATACTCTACATCAGAGTGGTGGTGGTGTTATAGGCCATTGAGTCACCTAAGACTCATAGCAACCTTATGTACAACAGCCCTAAACGCTGCTCTATCCCTTGCCAATCTCACTGTTTCCAACACACCTACTCCAATTATCCTAGTTACTGAATCAGTCTACCTCATAGAGGGTCTTTCTCTCCTGCTCTGTCCCTCCACCCTCCCAAGCATGATGTCCTTCTCCAAGGACTGGTCCCTCCTTGCAACATGTCCAGAGTATGTTAAATGAAGCCTTACAATCCTTGCCTGCAAGGAACAGCCTGGTTTAACCCTCTCTAGGATGAACCTGTTAATGCTTTTAGCAGTCCATGATGTATTCACTACTCTTCTCCAACACCACAGCTCAAAGACATCAATTCTCCTTCTGTCCTTCCTAGTCATTGTCCAGCTCTCTGACACATGGCAAGTGATTGCAAAGACCAGGACCTCTATTTGGTGCACCTTAGTCTCCAGAGTGTCACCATTGCTAATAAGTGTTTTGGAGAGGTCCCTAACAGTCTTTTCCCATTGCAATACATCTTTCAATTTCCTGGTTGCTAGTGCCAAGAGTTTAGACTGTGGAGTCAAGCAAACTAAAGCTGTTAACAGTCTCTGTCTCTTCACCATCCATCCTGATGCTTCCAGTTGGCCCAGTGGTAAGAATCTTTGTCTTTTTTATATTGAGCCTCAATCCATATTGAAGGCTGCAGTCCTTGACACTCTGCAGCAGGCGCTTCAGGTCCTCTTCAGTTTCAGCAAGCAGGGTTGTGTCATTCGCATAACGCAGGTTGTTGATAAATCGT